AGCCTGAAATTTGGCACACAAGTACAAATCTATATAAACTGGGGATCTATGAAAGGATTTTGACCTATCTTGAAAACTAAAAAAGTGAGCCCTAAGTCATTGGACCCCCTAGAGTCAGTTGACGAAATTTTGGGGTACTTATTTTTAAAAAATTGAATATTTCCTCAGGTTACCAATATTTCCCAATTCCCTTTCATAGATCCCCAGAATCGATCTTAAATCACCTGTACACCAAATTTGAAGCTTCTAGCTTTTGTAATTTTTGAAAACTCCTTGCACCCAGAAGGTTACATATGTCAAAAAGTAGATTTTGAGAAAAACAGAAAAAAACAGGGATTTTTAAAAGGATTTTTAGAGCAATTTGCACTTTTGAAACGCCCTTTTGGGTCATTTAGGGTGTTTTTTCAACAGTTTCTTCATTTTGACTGGATAGAACAGATGTCAAAGGATGTTTTTCTGCAAAAAACAAAAGTTGGATAGTTTGAAAAATTGTATCGATATTGCCTTGGAATCGCCGACCCGGGTCTTCCCTTAAAGACCACCTTTCGTATTCTCATAGAACGATGGGAGTAAAGTAACACACTACAGAGGCACCGTTAAGTGCTGCGGCTAAACTTTTTCTGGCGAGAAGAGACTTATCTTCCGTTTGGGAGTTTTTTGTGGTGATTGTTAGTGAAAGAGTTCATCTCTTTAATGATGCGCATTCTGATCATTCGAAGGCACTTGAAAATATTCATGCGGATTTCTGGCACTTAAAGAAAAGAAAGAAGCTCTAACATCGTTACTCTCTATTCTGTTTTCTTTATCAGAAACTTATTTTAAAAACGCAAGCAGCAACATGCATATTATTTATAATGAAGTGAGCAATTCGTGTGTTTGATATCGTCGCTTTTAAGGACAAGCGGGCTAACCCAGATTTCGGAGGTTTACAGAAATCCTGACCTACACCAAAAGTGGGCATTGCCCAACCTATAGGAGAAGTTTGGTTAAAGGGAAAACTCTCCTCGTCTTTTAAAGAAACTGAACAAAGGGCAAAACTTTACCTTCGATTTTCTCAAAACAGCATTTTTTTCGGGATAGCCCCCTTGTACTGAAAAGCGACCATTATGTGCATCATAGTTCGAAATGTGCCACATTATCACCCTCGGTGTGATGCTGGTCGGACGTATGCATCCGCTCCGTCTTTAAAGAGTTAACGCCCCGCTAGACGCGGACAGGCTTTTTAAAAAATTGAATACGGCGGTGCTCACCTGACCACAGAGAGGATGTTTGTGCTTTTGCCGGTGCGCTTGGCCCAGGGGAGGAGAAAGAGCAGCAGGCCGGAAGTAATGAGCGGGATTCCCGACATGATGAAGGCCATGTCGTAGTTTCCGGTGGCGTCCCTGATATAGCCTGCCATGCCAGACAGACGCCAGACAGTTGAACCAATGTGTACCATTTTTTTTGGGAGTGAATTTATTGCTCAACGAAACGCAGATTTCGAAAGGGAACCACAAGGTG